ATGACCAAGCCACCCCCTCCAACTCTCGATCTCCTGGCGTTTCTGATGACCAAGCCACCCCCTCCAACTCTCGATCTCCCCCGTCTCCGTCTTAGCCACTGCTGCAACAGCTGCTGCCCCGTCTGTTGCCCCGTCGACTTCTTCATCAGGTACTTCTCCATTCTTATTCTCTACTAAATGGTTCCTGAATCAATCAATTCTGTTTTTAGAGTTTATTATGATTTTTGAGGAGCTTGTCATAACCCAAATTTGAAGGTTTAACAAATATAAAAGCAGCATAAGACACAAATGAGTTAGTGGATCTAGGATCAATTAGTACTTTAGATATTCCATTGGAGGTAGAAAATTTATCTCTAATCACAGCTGGATTTCTTTGGACTTGCTCATTGAAGGCATATATATACTCTTCCAACTACCTTCTGTCTTTTTTTCATCTGCTTGATCCTCACTGCAATTTCTTGTTAAATGTCTTGGCTTCCCACACTGGAGACATGCACCCCTTTTCTTGTAACAGTCTTTGCCTTATGTTTCTGATGGCACACTTTGAATTCTGGAGCTTCTACTTTATTGATGAACACCCCCTTTCTTTTACCCTTCTGCTCAACCCTCTTATTCTGAGGTTGGATGTGGTTGATGACTGCTTTACCTTTGCCTCCCTGTTCAGTATTTTTTTTCCTTCTTGGCATTTTGGTATTGCTCAATTACTTTAGCGTTTTTCACCGCAGCAGCACAAGTGCCCAGTTCTGCTGGCCTGGTACTGATCTACTGTCATATCTTCTTGCCGCAATTCATTTAATTCCTGCTCCTTCGTAGTACTGATCTACTGGCATCTTTGGTGTCTTGTGTACCCCTAAAGGTAGGTGGATGCCATTTCTGAAATTGCTTCAGTTTGGCTTGATATTGAGGATCCTCTGGACCCTCATTCCCTCCAGATTGCCTCTGAACATTTCGTTGCTGGTTCACATCATACATTGCTTCTTGTACCATTTCCCTCATAATAGTTCGTAATACATCCATGGAAATTGTCACCACTCCACCAGCACCAACATTCTGTTGTTGTTTATTAATTCTGGTGGCTCCTCTGCAGGCACGTTCCATCTGCCCTGCATCATTAGATTACATTAAAGGAAAACAGAAATTGCATAATTAGTTAGTCAGTCACTTGTCAACCAAACAAACTTGACTCTTAGCAAAACCCTTGGCTCTGATACCAATTTGTAAATCCCAAAACAGGTAGTTTCCAGACACTGCTGTAGACTCATAGTTGAAATTTCTGTTGGAATAGATTTCTATTCAAAAGTTGGCAAGTCTTGTGCTACATTAAGATTAGAAACCATCTTACTGGTTTATAGAGAACATTCTTAAACTTAAACTCAAAACTTAACTAGCATATAAAACATAAGTTCCAAAATGGATTTAAATATATATGTATTCGAAATTCATTTTTTTAAAATTAATCTAAATAATGTATTTTAAAATACATGTACTTAAAATTTATATATTTTAAATACATATATTTCAAATACACACATCAAATACAAATACACATTTCTAAACACAACTCAGAGGAAATGATTAAATATGTATATTAGTTCAAATTTGAACACCTTAATCTACCATGTTTTAGGCAACTGTAGCTGGAGGTTGATTTTGTACCTGAAAGATTCTTTTGTATACACCTATGTAATTGGCTCATTTTATAAATAAAAAAAGAAAAGGTTTATGAAAGAAGCTTTCTATATTGCTCTAAGCCAAACACTTTCTTTCTTGGGCCTTAATACTTCTACATAGCCTTTATCATTATTCATCATAGGTTCCAAAGGATTACCCATGCCAAAGAACTTGCCCATAGAGATTGTTACAATATTACATTCAACTGCAACGCCAAAAACATCAACCTCAGTTTGGCATTTACAATTTGACCCATAACATTGGGTTTACTCCTGGGTTCTGTGTGATTTACTGCTGTATGAGTTGCTGGAGGGTTGAGCATGAGTTCTTTTTGGTTATTTTCATAGTTCAAAGCAGTCTAATTAACTTATTGTCTTGCTAGGTTCTGTTGAAAGACAGCCTTTGAGGAATGCAAGCAAGGATCACCTGAGATCGCTCCAAGGATTCCAGGTAGTCCTACTACCCTTTGTTTGGCCTTTTGTTATTCAATTGTGTTAAGACATAATGAACAGACAGCAAGATATGGTAAAACTAATATCCATACGTATACGTGAACAAAGTTTATATTTGCTCTAATACAATTTATTCTGCAATTCTATTTCTAATTCCACGTAGTAGGGTTTATGATCCATGAGGTGTATATGTGCAATACAGTACATGCCAAAAATAATGTTTTGAAATATGTTGAAATTGGTAATGGTAGATGATGTAGTTCATAACCCAAAATTGTTTGCATTGCATTCTGTTCACTGCACTGGTAATATCATCCACCAAAGGTGTCTCCATTAGCCTCTGATCTCTATTGTTGGTGTGGAATTGGGACAAAGATTTGGTCGGTGGTGAATGCTGGTACTACAGGGAATGCTGGTACTACAGGGAATACAACAGCATTACCCACAATTAATTCAAATGGTGAGGTCAGCATCAGGATGGTTTCTGGGTGCTGTATTTGACCACCGTGTTGAGCTAGGCACTTGAGGGTCTGTAGCGTGTATGTGATGTTTACATCTTGCTCCAATAGATTTCCATGGTGTGCAAAAAAGTTCTGTTGGTCAAAACAATTTATACAAGTTAATAAGATGAAATGAATACAAGTTATAAATAAAGCTTTTAGAAGAGGAGTTTATGGTTTACATGATCAAAGTTCTGTGCTTCATTCATGTAAGGGGAGTTGATCACAAGTGAATGATCTTGTCCCGCTGTGAGTGTCACTGGGTGGTCTGCATCCATCTGGAAGTCTACATAAAATGAAATCAGCATATTAGTTTGCACATAGTAAATTCATCAAAAGGGAAAAAGGAGGGGAAGGGGGGTTAAAGAGTAAAGGGAATACGAAATAAGCGGTTGTAGAAAGGTCCAAAAATTTGTTGAAGTTGACCCCTTAGAAAACCAGTATTGATGCTGATACGTTGCCTGGGAAGTTGGAGGTTTGGATTTAGGTTCATCGGCTGTCCCAAAATCCCATGTTTATAAATTTTGAGTATGTTCCTTGCCGAGTCCATAACAACCTGCTCCTGTATGTCTGGGTGGTCCTGGGTCACTTCAACGAAAATGAGTAGTGGGTTATCTCTTCTGATATTTTCTATTCTATTGCGCAGCTCAACCACATCTATTTGGGGAACATGTACATATGAAGCAACAACTTGAAAGGTGGAATGGACCACCCAAGATAGAACTGACTTATCTGGCCTTATCACTGCCATGAAGAGGTATTGGTGGTTGGCAAAGATTTGAAAACGGTTGCCTTGTGCAAACGGCATTGACGATAACTCGAGAAATTCCAATTCTCTTTTGAAGTCAAGGACGCGACCCTGTGCGATGTAAAGCAGGTTTGTGCTGAGAGCAGGTACCTCGTTGTCTTCCATTTTCTCGCCTGAAAGCTCCTTTTGACCTGAGAATGTGATAGTAAAATTTATTATTGCTAATACCACGAAGGGCACTATTCAAGAAGGCTAAATCTCTTGAGTTTTCGTGAAACTAGAATAAGATTTAAAAGGCTTCTTTAGGGAAGTATAAAAGGGATTACATCCTGGTAAAGGGTTTCTTTGAAACCATAAAAAGGATCGTTGTGATTTTAATATGTTATATATTACATGGATCACATCGTGGTAAACCACACTACACTTTATCACATCCATTGGAATTAATGTTGGTGGAGATATTTGATATTTGTGATTATGAGGGGTCTTGTGTTGCTAGTGATATAATGACCACACAGTTTAGTATTGGTATTTTCATTTAATGAAATTTTATGCCGAGATTTTGATTTATATTTGTGGCCATTAAAGTTATATTGTTATATTTGTGGCCATTAAAGTTATATTGTTATGTTTCATAGTGTGTGCTGTTTTCTGGGGTACTGCACTAAGTTCTGATCCTGACGTAGCAGAACAGGAATTAAAAAATAGAATACAATAAAATAAAAGAGAGAGGGAATTATTCTCTTTCATGTGATCATAGGTGGTTAGCAAGTATGAGGGGACTTAGCTAAAACTTGGCAGAAGTCCTTAGAAGAATAATGTGACTATGTTATGAATCAAGGGCTAAAAGGTATTAAAATTTTATTGATTACTTAAGCCCTTTGGGTTGCAAGTTGTGAATTTTCATGGCTGAATTTTTGCATGCAGGAATTAATATGCAAAGATAGAGAGTTAGGAAGGGGACTGAACCTTCAATGTAGATATTTATTATAGTACATGGTACATTAGCTAGTAGCTAGTAGCTAAGTTTAAAAAAAAAAAGAAAAGAGCAGTAACACACGGGTGTTAGATGCTAGAATGGAGATTGAATACATGTCACGTACAAGCTAATGTTTGTATCGTCCTCTTTGTCTCGGGTTTTTCAAAGTCTCTTATGTTATCTTGGGCCTCAACTGACATATTGAGTCTATTGTTGAATAATATTATGCAACCAGAATTTTTTCATGATTGTTTAGTCAAAAAATTAAACTAGATGCAAGTCAAAGTGAAGTATTAGCTATTGATGTTTTCTAGCATTTATAACCCTTCAGTGTTGGTTATAAACTATGGCTAGAGGGTTGGAAGACTAGGCCTGCTTTGTATGCTTTGTTGATTGTGTGCTTATTGCTATCAAACATGTTTACTGTGGATTATGCTAAGCACTGGGAGAGGTTGGACCAGTATCTAAGTTTATGATTAAGTGACTTATGAACCCTAATACAAAGCATGGGATGAAGAAAGAAATAGTAGGGTGGAACCTCCTCTTAGTACATGGAGGGTGGTATTGAGGAATGGTAAGAAGTTCTTTATGATTATGACCTGATTATTCCCTGCTTTTATTTCAAAGCGGAGAATATTTATGTTAGGATTTCAAGAGGAGTATGATATTGTCAATTTATAACTCTTGTTTTACTTAATGCTAGTTGAATAACTGCAGAGTTAATTGGCATAAGGATATCTTTAATGAAAAGATTGACTGCATTTTGAAATAATTTGGGACTGTGTGAAGTGGAATAAGTGCTGAAAGTTAGTTCCAGTACTTTATGGGGGTGTTAACTCCTGTTCTAGACTTCCTGGTTTAGTAATAATCAAGTAGTGTCTATAGAGGCATTCCTTGATTGAATTATATTTTATAAGGTTGGTTGTACCTTGTTGATTGTGAATATATTAGTTAGTGTCAAATGTTCAACTTCATTAGTTGAAAGGCATGGATTGAATTCTTGCGATGCACAAGAATTTTTGGTTAGTTGATAGTATGCGATGTCTATCGTATTGAGATCCTCAAGCTATGCTGAAGAAGAGTACCATATATACTGTTTGTGAATGAAGCTTATGAATTATATGACATGAGCTTATTGTTATTTCATGTTGACATGCTCAAGAATACTGGGGAATCCTATAAGCTACATGCTATTGGAAATCTAATATGTAAGTGCCAGAGAGATGATGATCTTTTGCCCATGACTGGGTAAAAGGATGTTCCTAAAGTTATCTGGAACATTATTATGTATGTGTGTGTGTTATTTTTTTAATAGAATTACAATGCTCAGAATTGTTCACGGTGAGCAAATATTAGCTTAAATAAATGTGTTCCTTTCTTATGCGTGTGTGAGAAAAGGATGAATGACAGAAAAGTTATTACTTCTGCCTAAGTTTCTGTAGATGTTAGAATGAAAATAATGCAGGAATTCATTCCAGGTTGAGCACCACTGTCAAGGGATATCTGCATATCGAAACAGGTAGCACAAAGGAGTACTTAAAAGGATTTCTATAGGAGTTAAGGCAAGTTATCAGTCACCTATCTATTTCGGAATTATAAATTCTGATATTTGTTGTTTCTGTTGCATTAGGCCTGTTATGTATTTGATTCTAAAGAAACCACTTTGGATTGTATCTCTTATGAGAGAATTCTGTTATTACTGTTTTTTTTTTTTGTAAGCTACTTTCTCATAACTTAAAATGTGTGTGGATTTTCATCACTAATTCCAAATTTTCTTACTAATTCTCCAAAGGTTTTACCAAGAAATATTTGCATAAGTTATAAGTTAAAAGTTCTCTCATGTAAAGAAGCTGTAGAAGTCTAAGAATTGGATTACTGAATTTTTTTCAGATTTCTCTTGAACTTGAATATTTTATCCAAACTGTTTGATGTGATTTGAGGTATGATATATTCAAGAAAGGAAGTTTCTAATTGAAATTTTATTAGTTCTAAGTTTTCTGAAACACATTAGTTTCAAAACCTTTTAATGTTTAAAGTTTTCACCAACTTGTTTTTTTTAAATTGCATGCATGTAATTGTAAAGAGTTTGAAATCATCATATCATGATCTTTAATTTTAATAGATGTGGGCACACAGTTTGTAGGGAGGACTGAACTTCCTCAACTAATATTTAAACTTGTTTCTGTTGCTACCACAGATGTTAGAACAGCAAATTTGTTTATTCCATCATATATACACATAGAAGGAAGCTGAGTTGGCTGCATGTATTTTTAGATGGTAAGCTAGACCATACGAGTCTGCTGTCCAGGAAAGCGTTAACAAGGAGAAGCACAAGTTATGTGGGTAGAATTTGTTTGTGCTTCTCATAGATCGTCCTGAGATTATAGAGTAATGATCTGTGAGAGAGGAACAAGATTGCAATGAGATTTTAATTAGCGGATGATAGGTTTAGTCCATAGCTCTACCAAATATTGTTCTGTATATCTATATAGCTAAGGTGAAGCTAATAGGAACAATGAAGAAATTTGGGGTTGAGCACTTCATTGAGGAAGGTATAAATTAGTTGCCAATGCGTAGTAGAAACTTGAAGGATCAAGGTTCTATTTTTAAAGAAGATTGAGATTTGGAGGACCAAATCTCTTAAGGTGGGAAGGATGTAACATTCCATCCTTGCTTGATTATTTTTAAATAACAGCCCTTAGTTACTAATGACTTAATTGAATAATTTGAAAGTTAAAGGTTTGCATGGCAAACCCAAAACCTTGAGTTTGTGGGCTGCTTTTTCCAAAGCCACTAGCTGGAGATTCATGAGGTGGCATAGGCAGATTCCACCAACAAAATCAGCCCATGGTTATGATTGAATTAAAAACCCATTTCATGCCATTTACCACATTATGACTTCTTTGCTTTTCTTCAGTCGAGAGAAGCTCTGCAACCTTAACAATTTTTCTTTCCTTTTTCTATTCAGCCGAAAGAAATGAAGGGAGATTTGGGGAACTTTGTAGTGGCAGTAAAATGAAGAAATGAGGAAACGTTTGTTCAACTCTTGCGTTTGTGGGTCGAACCAGAAATGGAGAATAACCAAAGGGGCAGCTGCAAATCAGTGGGGGAATTTGAAGAAATCCAAGGGATTCTATCAAGAATGGTTTTGGGCTTTGTGAGGTAAGTATAGATTATGACTTTGGTAGCTGTAATTGAAGTTAAAATGATATTTATCTGGTTAAACATGATCCTAGAGTAAAGCTAATGCAAGAAGTGGGCTTAGTAAGGAAGAATGCTTAACATGCAAATGAAATTATGAATTAGTTCATGGCTAGGCTATAAGTCAGTGCTGGATTAAAGTTGAGACTACATGTTGGACATGTAGATATGGCAGATATGGCTTTTGAAAGTTTTATTTGATGCAAGCTACTGTGCTATTCTGTTGTGATCTGATATTAAATTGTATTGCTATATCTAAAGTACAAGCATGACAGTGCATAGATGCTGTTTCTATGAGCTAGGTAGAACCCAGTTGGACTGGGAGCATGAAAAGAGATATCTAGATCCATTGTGCAGTAGGAAGAACCATTGGTTGGACCATTGGTATGGTAGCTACTGAGCTAGGTAGAACCCAGTTGGACTGGGAGCGTGAAGAAAGGTATCTTGATCCGCTGTGCAGTAGGAAGAACCATTGGTTGGACCATTGGTATGGTGGGATGTACACCCCCAAGGAAAAATCCATGGATAAGAACTTGCATTCATCTGCATGTTGAACAAGCATAAGGCTACCTTGCTATTATCTTATGTTTATTGGAAGTATTTATGTCATGTTTATTTATGACACTGATGAAACTGTTCAGCATTGATGAGCAGTGTTTGATGGAACTGATTCTGTGCTTCCTGAGGTAAAGGAATGTATTTTCTGGTTTGTTCTAGAATGGAGACCAAGTGAGCATGTGCTTGGATTGAACTTACTTGCTCTAAATTAGATAGTTCTAATTTAGAGAATGTGGATTATTTTCGAGATGATGATTTGTCTATGTCTAATTCTGGTATCTTTGCGTAAGTTTTATGTGGAAGAACAATGTAAGTTAATTGATGGAACTTAATAAGTTAAATTAAGATTTCAGTCATGGCTCTTAAGTTATTACCTATGCTTGTTGAGCTACATAGCTCATGGTGTATTGTTCACCCTGTTTCAGGTTAGCTAGTGAAGAGATCAACAATTTTTGGGAGACTAAAAGTTTCCTATGGTTGCTGGTAGTGAACAAGCTTGTAAGGCTTGTTGAGGTAACTTTTATCTGCCCAAAGCTGAATCCTTGCTCAATGTTTTGTAAAAGAACTTTGCATTACTAGAATATGTTTTGTTTACCAAATGGGGCATCAAGTGATTGAGAGCTGATTCTTAATCTAGTTTATTGTGATAGAATTTGATGTATAAATAAAAGTTACAGCTCAAACCTTACCCTTTTGGCTAAGGTTGCAGGTCTGGGATGTAACATATTTATTTTGCAGAATGAAATTATAATGATCCTTAATGATTTTTGGGTAACATACTGATTGTACAGATTAAGGTACACAGTTTATTTATTTTGTTATATCTTGGTATTTTAAATTTTACGTATGTTGATCCTTAAATTCTAACAAATTTGTCATTTTTTTAAAGAGGATATTTGTCCCTGCTTTCATATTTGAGGGTGGATTTGGGGTTTAGCCATTTAGTGCTCAACTATAAGTGGGGCATTAATTTTAAAATTCCTCTGATTATTAATGTTGATGAACTTAAATTATTTCCCAAAACATGCATAAATTTTTTCTGGGTTTTTGATAAAAAGATTGTGCAAATTGTTGCTCTTGAACTTTAGTGAGAACCATCTTTCCCCGATATGTAACAGAAGAACAATTGAAACTTATGTCTCTATGTCGTGAAATTCTAGCAGTATGTTGCGATGTTTATCCATGTAATACTCCGTGCTGTCTCAATTCTTTCTTTCTATTCTAGCAGTATACCATTTACCACATATATCTTCTTGGTATGATTATATTTCAGAATGAAGTTGAAACTGTTGAAATTCAGTTCTGGAACTCTTTGGACTTAGGAGCCTGTTCTGTGTTTACTGCTTCTCTGTCAGACTCATTTTTATTGCCTTGAGATTACTAGGATTTATTTTGTTTAGGAAAGAAAGATAAGGGTTTGATCGTTTGTGCTGGTTAGTGGTAGTTGTGCATGGTCTAGGGATGTTTAAGCAGCTTTGTCAAAAGGCATCACATTTATTGTAAGCATGAGATTTCAGGTGGGTGTGATAATTATATGGCACAATATAACTCAGCTTTGTTCTAATATATTAAGTATGAGCAAGAAATGTTATTCATTTTGACATAATATATGGTAGTAAAGATAAACTAAATTACTCAAAGTAGAAAAGAAAGTGTGATACGAATAAATCTCATAATGAATTAAACTAACGTGATTAGTCTGTTCTAAACCTAAGCTGAATGTGCAAATTAACCTATTTTGTAGGATAGGATTTGGTCATCTTATTTAATATAAATATGACCATCCATGTCATGGAAGCTGAAATATTTAAAAGCCAATGCAGGATTGTAATTCAACCCTTCACCATTAAGGTTAGCATTAACAGCCTCCATGACCAGCTATGCTCGAGTTTTATGCATGAGTCACATTTGTCTTTTACTTTCTTGATTTGCTGTTGAAGAATTCTCATTTCTAGGAAAGATATATGTATGGATTGATATCATTTTCTAATGTCATCTTTATATTATAATGGTTGTTATAAGTTTTGATGTTCATCTTTAGTACCAAATTTTGTTTTTTATGGACATAGTCTGCAGTATATATATCTATCACATAAATAATTTAATTGTCTGTAATAGACTAGCATACACACTGGCTGATTTAAAAATTGCTTGAATGCACAATAAACTACCAGTATGTTGCTGGAAGCATGAATTGGTCCATTAATTGTCACATGGAGTTGTAATGGTGGGTTAAATATACTTCCATCTATAGATGTCCCTTAGCAATTGTTTCAGGTGTAAAGATCAAAATAATTATAATAACCCATTAGATGTCCATGGTTTCAGGTGTTAGAATGTAGTAACTGGAGATCTTGAGTTAACTTGTATGTTCTTTTGAATAGTTCTGAATAATTATTTGAAAAATAATGATATACTGTTTGAAAATTGATTTTAAAGAGTTACTGCTGCCAGTGGGTGAACTTGGATTTTCTTTTGTCATGACTTTGCTTATATGGATTGGTTGCTATGATCCTTTTCTGGGTCTTTTTCGCCCAAATGTTTTAACCTGCCTCTGTTGCTTTCAAAATTTTCCTTTCTTGTATAGGGTTGTTTTTTGTTCATTAATTCACTAGGTTGGGTTATTGGGAATCTTAGACATTGGACCGAGCTTAACCTGGTTTGTTCTCTGCCCTAGAAAACAGAACCAGTAAAAAATATACTGAATTCAGATGAACTTAACACAAATTTACAACTTGGAATTCCGAACGAGTCAGTAACAATATCTGATTTAGAAAAGTAATCCTCTATTGTAGGGCGACAAGAATGGTAAGTACTTTTGTCAAGAAAGGAAGGAAAAAGGTTGGATTATGTACCTGTAAATTTGTGAATCCTTGGTTGAGATGAGTTGATGATCAGACCTAATTGTGATCCGTTAGCTGTGAGCTAGGGCTTCCGTTATCGGTGATCCGCGATCGGCGATTGGCGGTTGGGGATTTTTGCTTCCGTTAGCACGTTCCCGTGTCGCGGAAATGAGGGAAAATACCAGTCGATTTGGCAGAGAATTCATATTAAAAGTGTATTAATTGTATTTTTTTAAAAATTTATATAAGAAAATGCAAAAAATTTTATCTTTAACATTATCGGTACAGGCATTATTTTAATTGGGAGGTCAATAAAATTAAATTAGTTTTTATTTTTTCTTATCT